TAGCTGTCACTTTTCTTAGTAGCTGTATTTCATGCTAACATTCTTATTTCCATCAATCCATAGAGCGTTTTCAAATTCTCCGTAGGCGACAAGGGTCGTGCTTCCAGTAGTATCTTGGTCAAAATCCACATCAATGTTTACGATTCCCAGGTTGCGTCCATAATTATACCCGTGATTCTGGCGACCATCAGGATTGAAGTTAAAGGCCAGCAAGTAGTTTYCGTCTTTAWAGTCGCTTCRAGAAATACCTATAGAGGCGGATTCTTTCATGTTTCCTGAGAAGCTGGAAAGAGTTTCATATCCTTCCACTTTGTCAAACGAGTTTAAAAAGATGCGTTCCATGGGAATTTCTTGACCATCCAACGTGACTCGTACCATTTCTTGATGCATGTCTTTAAAATTAAATACGTTTTTATCGTAGGCTCCTGTAAATGCTGCTCCTTCTGGAAACCCTATAAACATGTAATTGGGTCGAAAGCCTTGCCATACGTTTTTAAAACTTGTCTTTCGACGTCCATCGACGATGGTGTGGGTGGCAATGTGTGACGACATACAAGGATAAACAGCCATTTTTTTGTGGTTTAACATGGAGGTTTCATTATACAAATGCAGCTCAGGTTGAGCTGGAGGTTTCATTATACAAATGCAGCTCAGGTTGAGCTTCCACATGACGAATTTTGAGTACAGGGCTATTGGGTACAATGCGAAATTTTGGAGCAGTGATCACGGGATCTCCCGTCATCAGAGCCAAATTAGGAGAATTCCAGCGTATACGAAAATCCAGTTGACATCCGGGTGGCAAGTATTTACTGCACTGAAAAATGTCGATAATGGGGGTAATGACAAACCGCACTTTACGATTTGCGGCAATGCAGAGTTTATGTCGAGCCGAAGCTCCTGCATTAGGCCTGGGGCGGTTGTGAAGGGCATTGAGCGCTGTAGTAATGGTGCCGGCTTCATTGTTGGCCAAGTCTGGAATGGGGGCTAGATGAGGGTCGGTGTCGTCAAATTTACCAGGGGTGTCGGTAGCCCATCCTTCCGAAGTTAACCAAGTCGTTTTTTCTTCAKCGGAATGGTTGAGAAGTCGAGCAAAATAGGCTTTCAAATGATACGATTCTGACGTTTCTCCAACAGGTTCGTTATTAATTTTCAAATCAAATTGTTTGATGAGAGAATGACCAGTATTGTTCACAGGAAGGACTTTATTGGCACTGGTTAAGATGGCTGTGCCGTTGTTGGTCAAAAATTCAACTTCGTATTCCAAGGTGATCATGGTCATGTCGATCCAGCCACGGGAACGAGGCACGGTAATTTCCAAAGGATTGGTCGTGGATTGAGATTGATAGTACGATTCCCAACGCGATTTTCGACAGAGGTGTCTACAGGAAATGGAACAAATAGTTCGCTTAGATGTCCTTTTTGAATCTTGGGGGGAGGAGCAGATAGAGTCCCCTCTTCTTCCAACTTTGTGTACTTGCGCTTACTTGAGGAAGCAGTAGATCCTCCGTATTGAGCCATCCTTTTTTTTTTTAAACACACAA